TCCTCTTATCCACTGACCCTCGTCAGGTGAATCTAATGAATCATAAAGAGTTATTTCAAATATGAATGAAATAACTCTGAATAGTTTAAGTGAATACACATAATTCCTACCAACTAAAATATGGCTCTGACAGCCATCAGATAGATACATATAAATGTTTCATTTCATTCATATGTGTATAAGACACAGCAGTGTATATAAATGCGTATGTGTTTCTCATATATACGTGTTTCAGTTGACTATGTATAATGTTTTATATATGTGGGTGCATCTGTGGGTGGCACGGTGGCGTGGTGGTTAGCACTGTCGCCTCACAGCAAGAAGGTCCTGGGTTCGATTCCACCCAGTGGCCTTTCTGTGTGGAGTCTGCATGTTCTCCCCGTGTCTGGGTTCTCCGGCTTCCTCCCACAGTCCAAAGACATGCTCTGGGGATCAGGTTAATTGGGGACTTTAAATTGCCCGTAGTTGTGTGAATGTGAGTGTGAATGGTTGTGTGTCTCTGTGTTGCCCTGCGATTGGGCTGGCGACCAATCCAGGATGTACCCTGTCTATTGCCCGAAGTTGGCTGGGATGGACTCCAGCCCCCCCCGCGACCCTGTGTGCAGGATAAGCGGTCTGACAATGGATGGATGGATGGATGGGTGCATCTGTTTACCTAGTACGTATGTATGTATGTATGTGTGAGAGTGTCTCAGTATTTAAGTCCTAAACGGCTCCTAATAAGTCAGTTTCTATGTTACTGGTGAAGAAATAAATGAATTTAAGACACAGAAAATTGCCTAAAATTTTCTTTTGTTCTTAGCTTTTAGCTTGGATGAGAATAAAGTACGTAAGCAGCGCTGTGTGCAAATCATCTGGACTAATTTACACAACATATTGTCTAACTTGTTGAAGTTGTGTTTGGAGCCTTTTCAGACGTATAAGTGAAGACTGTAGCCAAGACTTGAATATTTGTATATTTGACCAAAATCAACTCCGAAACGGTGAAGCTCGGGCTGAACAGGTGAACAGGTGAACAGGTGACAAAGGTCTCAGGCCAAAGATAAAGTATTTACAGCTGCATGTTTGCTTGTGACGCTGTGACCTCAGACAACATCCCGACGGTGGAAGTGGATTCCAGAGTTCCTCTTTGGCGTCTTCGTGATGAACACTTTGTTGTCTTCTCTTTCAGAGGGAGTCATTGAGGACAATGAATACGTGAACGCACCAGTACGTCCTGAGGACAAAGCCCCCCCAGGTGCACGCTGAACACCACCCACTTCATGTGCTTGTCATGTATTTAAGGCCTTTGAGTGTTGGAGCAGCACCATGACCTCCACCCTTGTTGTGATGTTTGTGTTAGACCGGAGGCTCCTCTTCTCCTCTCCGTCTCTCCCCCTGCTCGCCGTGTGTTGGATCCTCCTGCTGCTCATCATGGGCCTTCGTATCTACTGTGAGTACCTTCTGGGTGGAGCGAGTCCACGCCGGCTTCCTCTCAGCTTCATCTAAGACCAATCAATCATGAGGAGTTTTCAACCTTTAGAGCTCAGGATTCAATCTGTGTGACTCCAGAGACAGTGAGTCTAAAGACGGCTGCATGCATGAACACCCATAGTGTGACACCTGCCATGATCATGAAACACCTCTGTGTCACATGGGTTATTTAAAGGATCCAAACAAACAACGAGACCAACACTTCCCTCTGATCATATTTCAGTTTCTTCCGTCATTTCTGAACAAAACGTCAAGCTGATAAAAGAGAACCAACAGCTGATAAAAGAGAACCAACAGTTGATGAAAGAGAACCAACAGTTGATGAAAGAGAACCAGGAGCTGATGAAAGAGATCCAGGAGCTGAGTACAGGTAACCTGAAGCGATGCACAGAGCAACAGAATAGATTCATCTCACCTGGATGTTTATACATCCACAGTTCAAATTAAACTTCAGAATGAAGAACTTCTTCTGCTTCAGATTACTGAATAGTTACATATATTGGAGACGTTATATAATAGGAATGAAAGGATGAGTGAAGAGATATTCTATATTCTTCTAACAAGTCCTGTGATTCAATCCCAACGAGCTCTGTTGTATCTCAAAAGTGTGTGTGTGCCATTGATTTCCATTAAAAACAGATCAATGAGCCTCATGATCCTTCATAAACACACAAGATGGACAAGTAAAATTGACCAAAACCAATTTATATTATTACCATCAATAAATAGTCCAAATTTCATTTTCATTTTTGATACAATAAGTGACATAACAGAGATGAACCAGTTAAGAGAAAACCTGCTGGCGGCCAAACAAGAGCTGAGAAACTTCAGTGAGCAGCTGAACTTAGAGAAGGAAGACTCGAGAAAGAAACTCAACAGTCTGAAGCTGCAGCTGGAAAACATGACGCAAAACTATAATGTCTCAGAAGGTAAGAACAGCGAGCTGAAGAACGAGATCCAGGAGCTGAAGACAGAGAACCAGGAGCTGAAGGAGAACTTCACAAAACAAATCACAGACCTGGAGGACAAGTGGGAGAAGTTCAATGTCAGCAGAGCTCAGTGGACCATCGACTCCTACTGCCCAGCAGATACAAGTAAAGGTATCATCACTTTACATTAATCAGTCCACAAAGAACCAATAACAATATCACAATGAGGCTGTTTGTTGGTTCTTTGTTCTTTCAGTGAGAACGTGTTCAGCTTGTCAGAAAGGCTGGAACGAGACCCAGAAGAGCTGCTATGTGTTTCATGACAGGGAAACTCCTTCTGAGCTTAAAACCTGGGAAGAAGCTCGAGAGAACTGCAGAGGAAAGAGAGCAGATCTGGTTGTTGTTCATGATGAGGAGGAAAAGGTGATGAGAGACCTGAGGGAACGTTTATGATATAAATATTAAATATAAATGGTTTTCTGTAGTTGAGTCTGTAGGACTAGTTTACAGGTAACAACATATAAATATGAATAATATAAATAAATACTTACATCTTGGGACCCTTTACTTAACCTCACACAACTCTTCTCTATAAAGACACACAAGACACTTTAATAACTTCCTTCAAATAAACACTTTATTTCTTTGGTTTCTTTTATCTTTGTAAATTGTCATTTCTTCTCTTTCACAGAAAGTTATCGATGGTAACGTCACAACGCTCGCTGTATCTAAGGGGTACTGGATGGGCCTGAGGGTTGAAGGAGGGACGTGGAAGTGGATCGATGGAACTGATCTGACTGACGCGTAAGTGACACATTCTTTAACATCATGAATCATTTCTTCTATCATTGTTTCATCTGAACATCATGTTGTTCCTTCAGCTCCTGGATAGAACCTCCTGCTGAAGGTCACTGTGCCGTTTCTCTCCCGACCAGAAAATGGACATCAGTGAAGTGTGATGAGAAGAGAACAAGGATCTGCTCACAGAAAGCTTTGTCTGTTTAAACGTCTCATCTTTCATTCTCCAGAAGGTTCCTGGATGCTCCTACATGTGACATCAAGTGGCTCATCAACATACAAACATGTAGGATTCTACTTCACAACTATGATTTTATTCAAGGTTTTCATTTCTACAGAAAATAGCTTTTATTTTCTTAAGTGTTGTGTTCTTCAAAGCAGAATCTCAGCTTCAAGGTGTTTTATTGGATCCAATAGATACTTTGAGTGTGAATTCAGACGTCAGGACCAAACTGTTGATTGTTCATAACTTCCTGTGTGTTTCCTTGTGATCTGATTTACACATCAGCAGCTTCCTGATTTATTTCTTCTTGTTTCTACCTTTGACCAGCAGGGGGCGCTGCCTGCTGGTTCTCTGCACTTTGCATCAATACTTAGAACCATGTTGAACTTGCACAGCTGATGTTTCTCAGTTTATCTTTGTAGCAGCAGGTTCATCTTTTGGTCTGTTGTTGTTGTGAATAAATGTGCAGCCACACGTTGTTGTTTGTCTCTTTTTATCGGCGTGAATCCTTCAACAAGCTTCAGTGGCGTCAGGAAGAGTCGCCTCAGGAATCAGGAATCAGGAAACATTTATTAGCCAAAATATGTCAAACATACAAGGAATTTGTCTTGGCGGTTAGTGAGCGACAGTAGACAGACAAGACAACAGTGCACAAGTAATAAAATAAAGTGGAATGAAATGCTAGTGCAATGGGTTAGTAGAATAAGGCTAAGGCTATGGGTTAGTATAAAACAAGGGAATAAAGTTAAAAAATTTAAATATTAAAAGTTAAAAAGAAAAATATTAAGCATAAAGTGCACTAACAAACAAGTAACAGACAAGAGACAAAGTGACAAGTGACAAGTGATGAATCACAGTTAAAGTGACGTGTGCAGTGTGAGGGGGAGTGACCGGTGGAGTGTTATAGTCAGGCAGTGGGGGACCGGCTCTGTTGATGAGCCCGACTGCCGACGGGAAGAAACTGTTGGTGTGGCGGGAGGTCGTAGTCCTGATGGACCTCAGCCTCCTGCCAGATGGAAGGGGCACAAACAGTTCATGTCCGGGGTGGGAGGGGTCGGCCGCGATCTTTTTAGCTCGCTTCAGAGACCTGGAAGCGAACAAGTCCTGCAGGGACGGCAGATTGCAGCCGATCACCCTCTCTGCGGAGCGGATGACACGCTGCAGCCTGCCCTCGTCCTTGGCTGTGGCTGCAGCGTACCAGACGGTGATGGAGGAGCAGAGGATGGACTCCCTGATGGCCGTGTAGAAGTGGACCATCATCGTCTTTGGCAGGTTGAGTTTCTTCAGCTGCCTCAGGAAGAACAACCTCTGCTGAGCCTTCTTGGTGATGGAGCTGATGTTCAGCTCCCACTTGAGGTCCTGGGTGATGATGGAGCCCAGGAAACGGAAGGAATCCACAATAGTGACGGGGGAGTCACACAGGGTGATGGGGGAGGGTGGGGCTCCTTCAGGTGCTGTGACGCGTTAAAGCAGAAGGCCGTCCCACTGTGAACATCTGCAGCAGCAGAGCTCCACAGAGGACCAGGAAGTGTCCCTCAACAAGTCTCCCGCTGTCCATTTCCACAGAGAGGAGTTCACATTGATCACATCACTCGGCTCTAATACGCATGCGCACTTGACCTCCGAAGACGTGATTTCCTTTGAAGCGGAAAGAAAGCGCTGCTCGGTCCACAAGGTAAGTTTTAGCTAACGTTACATGATCAAATGTAACCGTTTACTGGCACCGTTCTACCTAGCAAACTTACTCGTCCGGTTGCCATATTCTTTACCTGTTAGTTAACGTTAGTTTTTGGGGTTTAACTTTTATCTCTTCGATTTTCAAAGCTGACGTTAGCCGTTGACATTTAAGCTAACGTTAGCTTGACCGTCAGTGTGGAACCTTCTAGAATAAATGTAACGTTAAATATAACAACAACTTGCGTTTCAGAAAACTCGGAATGCTTATTAGCAGGTTCAAAGATAATTTATGTTAAGTCAATCTTTCAGCGCCACTTTTGAATTCGGTAAAAATGTATTTTTGTTAGCTTGTTTTATTGTTTGTCTCCTACTGTTTTCTAAGAAGCGACCTCATCGGGAAACATACTCCCGTTTATCAATTTAACGTTAGTGACGTTAACTTGCACTGCACTTATACGACGTCACGTTTCACGTAGCGCTGTTACATTTGATGTTAACGTTAGTTAACCGAAAAATGTATTAACTTATTTAACGTCCGACAGGAGGTAGCGGTTATTAACGTAATAACGGTTAAACAACGGGGCCGCCTAACGCGCGCGCGTGAGCTCTCCATCTTCCTCCAGACAATTTGTCAGGGGGCAGATAAAATTTGTGAAATGTTAAAATCTTCCATTAAACTTTACTTATGGACTTTTTTTCGTTACTTATCTTCCAAATGGTGCAGCTATACTTTATTTTGGTGCAGGATCAGGGCCCTTTAGTATCTACTGTCTTTCCCTACTCACTCTGAATAAGTGTCTTCTCTTACTTGATTAATTATATCTAAATCAATCACAGTAGCTGTGTCTCTTCAATGCTCCGATTAGTGAAATTTGGGGAGCATTGTTTTTCTGTGAGGCATACACATATAACTTATGTGTTCTACCATAGAAATGCAATTTGACATGCAATTGTGGTTTTAATGCTGCTATTGTTTTTAGGACTCCCGAGACATGTCTCACACCTCCATGGGGATCCTGACAGTGATTGCCGAAGACTGTGCCGCCTTTCTTCACTCACTGCACCTCGAATCCACAACTACTGACGTCATTTTGGAAGGAACACTGGCGATAAATTTCCCATCAGAATCTGCCACAGTCCCTTGTGCCTGCTACCCTCAGACACCGAGGAGCATCTTAGGTTTGTTCAAACAGTGCTTCTCTCACTTGGACTAAAATCCCTCAAACCCAAACTACAATCCCTCTAAAACCTACTAATGCAGTGAGGAATTGTCTTCATGATGTTTATGGTCTGTGACATGCTGCGTTAGACCCAAGAACTTCACCCTTACTCTTTACTATGGAAAATGTTTTGTTCATGATGTCCAGACATTGTCCATCTGTTTGTTACAAACCATAGTCCTAACTTTTCATAATGCAAGGCATGCTATTTTCATATTGTGGGTAATTGCATGTTTTTCGCAAACCTTTAGTTCATTCTAATATTTGAATACAACAAACAATTAACAGAGTATTGATTCATATTTAATTAATTGCCTTTAGTCTTACAGTTAAATTGGATAGGACAGTCTTTTTTATCTGTGGGTGTGGTGGCATCTTTCAAATCCCATTAGCATAAGAGAGGCAATCAGTTTATTTTATTGCGATGTTAAGATATTTTAAAAGTTTGACCAAAATGTCCACATTTCAAAACATGTCATTTTTAATTGTTATCAATTTTAATCACGTTTTAGATTAAGAAAATGTGTGAGGAACTTCCTTAAAAATAAACTTTGTCATTGCATTATAACTGTTCTGTCTTTGTTTTAGACGCTTACAGTTTCTAGTTCAGCTTACTTGAAAGTTTTAAGGCAATCGGTTTCCTGATTATTTCTTAGTAAAGTGAATAGTTGGATTGGTAAAGTTAACTTTTTCTTATTAGTACTGTTTACTTAATATAACTCAGATCTTTAAATTGTCTAAACTAACTTATTTATTGTCAACATAGTTAATCATTTTAAGTTAACTATACTAATGTTTACTGCAGTTACATGAGTTGCCTAAACTCAGGCTACAGATAAAAAAATCACTGTTATAACTCTGACACATTCAGAGGAATCTTTTAATGTGTAATTTCCCTCCCAAATAAACCTATTTTAAAAATGGAGGAGTTGACAGCAGCGTGAGAATGTGCCCCAAAGTTTGGGTCAAAACCTCAAAAAGAGAAGAACGCTTCGTGAAGCAGAAGTAAAAACCAGACTGAGCGTGAATGAACACACTGACTTCTACATTCTCTTAAAGGCGCAAATGTTACTTCTTATTTTTTTCCCTTTTTTTTTATAAGCAGCACCCAGGCAGGGGGCCACAAAACCACCAGCTCAGAGCAGAAGTGCACTGAAGAGCCTCAGAGCGGATCAGCACTCATCCACATCTGTTCACGATGAGCAGAAAGCCAGCAGATGAAGCAGGTATACGTGAGATTACCTTGTATACATTATTATACATGAGATATAATGTTAACTATTCTATAACTAGGCTATATATATATCAGACTGGTGACACGTGACGAAGGGAAAGTGACCTGAAACGAGAGGAGTTACTATTTCAAAATAAAACAGGAAATGACAAGACAAAAAAGACCAGACAAAATAAAACAAACCCAACCAGTTCAGCGCGGTGTGACAAAGCCAATATTATCATTGTATTTGTGTGTGTGTGGGTAAGAAGGCAGCTACCTGAGATACATTATCATCACTAGTTCATAAAGTAAGTTAAAACAGACAAAATGTAAAAGACAACGAAGAATGTAACTGATAGACGACCAGAAGTTGTCATCAGCTCAGATCATAATTCAGGAAGATGCAGGGGGGGGCAAAGTGATTTAAATACCCACACGGCCACCAGCTCAGAGCAGAAGTGCACTGAAGAGCCTCAGAGCGGATCAGCACTCATCCACATCTGCATCAGGACTCTGAACATCTGTTCACGATGAGCGGAAAGCCAGCGGATGAAGCAGGTATACGTGAGATTACATTATATACATTATTATACATGAGATATAATGTTAACTATTCTATAACTAGGCTGAGTGTTCATAACTTAATCTGTTGTCAGTCTGGTGTTTGTTCACCGGTTTTGTTACGCTCTTTTGAGGACAGAGTTTAGATTCATAACTTCATGTTTATTAAACTTTAACGTCTTGTCTGTATCCACAGTATCATTGTGCATTAAAAGGGTTTTAATCTCCACTACGGAGAAGTGGATACAAGCGCAGCGTTTCACAGAAGTCCTGCTGAGAACAGGCCTAAAACTACAATCTGGGACATAAATAGTAATATTTATAAACTTGGACCGACACAAGGACAGAAGTCCGTTCTTAAAAGCATATTAGAAAGAACGTAAGGCGCTTTTCACTGTTCAAAACCTGCACTCTTTGCTTCCTTCTTCTGGTGTAACGGAGATGCTTCAGTATGCTGGTGAGACTTCATGTATTTACACCAGTGAGATGCTCTAATGTTCACTAGAGAGCTGGTCTAATGTTTACTAGTGAAATGCTCTAATGTTCACTAGTGAGATGCTCTAATGTTCACCAGTGTGATGCTCTAATGTTCACTAGTGAGATGCTCTAATGTTTACTAGTGAGATGGTCTAATGTTTACTAGTGAGATGTTCTAATGTTCATTAGTGAGATGGTCTAATGTTCACCAGTGTGATGCTCTAATGTTCACTAGTGAGATGCTCTAATGTTTACTAGTAAATTGCTCTAATGTTCACTAGTGAGATGGTCTAATGTTTACTAGTGAGATGTTCTAATGTTCATTAGTGAGATGCTCTAATGTTCACTAGTGTGATGCTCTAATGTTCACTAGTGAGATGGTCTAATGTTCACTAGTGAGATGCTCTAATGTTCACTAGTGAGATTACTCGTATGAATACATGTGAAACGCCTGCACATTCTCATGTGAGAGCATACATACATATATCTGAAAAAGTTATACATACACCTTTGAAACATTTACATACATATGTAAACATTGCATATGTATCTAAACTTTTTATATCTTTGTAATCCTCAAGAGATTATGAATGTATAATTGTTCAACTATATATATAGAACCTTTTCATATGTGCGTGTGTGGTGGCCGACCTTTGCACTTCCTCATTTTGGTGCCCAGGACTCCGCTTCCTGACTCACACGATGTCGCTCGCATAGAAACCACTCAATACTTCTCATTTACGTTGTTTATTTAAGTTTTACATTTGGTCGTTTCATTTGAACATGATTAACATGATTAGTGGACAACGTGAGGTCAAAAGTCTGTGCCGATGTCCCGTCCAAGACAAAAGCCAGCCCCCGTGCCTCAGCCCCCCTCCTCTTATCCACTGACCCTCGTCAGGTGAATCTAATGAATCATGAAGAGTTATTTTAAATGTGAATGAAAAAATACTTTAAGTGAATACACATAATTAGACAAAAGACAGATACATATAAATGTCACCATAAATATATGATTGTATTTAATGTAATGTAATCAACTGGAATCATGCATGTAATACTTGCACTACTGGTATTGACTGAGAGACATTTGAAATCCGAGTTCCATTGAACTCACCAGAAGACTCCCAGAGGTGTGGACACTAACTTCCACACCTTCACGGATCGTTATAAATACCTGTAGGAACCATTGTTCTGGAGTTCGCTGGTGGAGGCGGCAGACGGGCACTATGGGGGGTCAAAAGGACTGACCTGGGGCCTGTTGGTTGCTGAGACCAGCGGCTCCTCAGCTGAGATGTTCATTTTACCACAACACCATCTCCTTTCTTAAATACATTTGATTTGAACCTTTCGATCTGCGATGACCTCTGTCCGTCCAGCGTTTCTTCATTTTTGAACCTAACACGAGCCCCATAAAACATGGAGGTAGCAGACTGAACACACATCTGTGTGACAGATCAGTGCGTGGGCAGCAATCAGGGAACGTTCTGCTTTGAGTGAATATCATCTACTGGAGGACAGGCTGTCCTTCAGGCCTCAGTGAAGATGTGGATTCTTATCAGAGTCCGGCTGTAGTTGCCGATCTGTTTCAACCACTTTTTTGGCCCATTCTATTGGACCAGACTGACAGGCGGTAAAGAGCGACGCCTCCTTTAGCCGCTCAGAGGTCAAAACGGGAAGAGCGTACAATGACGCTGGAGAGTTACGATTGACTTAGAAAAAAAACCCTGACCCCCAAAACCTGCGCGGAAGAATAAAGTACGTAAGCAGCGCTGTGTGCAAATCATCTGGACTAATTTGCATAACATAACACATATTACTCCGAACCGGTGAAGCTCGGGCTGAACAGGTGAACAGGTGAACAGGTGACAAAGGTCTCAGGCCAAAGATAAAGTATTTACAGCTGCATGTTTGCTTGTGACGCTGTGACCTCAGACAACATCCCGACGGTGGAAGTGGATTCCAGAGTTCCTCTTTGGCGTCTTCGTGATGAACACTTTGTTGTCTTCTCTTTCAGAGGGAGTCATTGAGGACAATGAATACGTGAACGCACCAGTACGTCCTGAGGACAAAGCCCCCCCAGGTGCACGCTGAACACCACCCACTTCATGTGCTTGTCATGTATTTAAGGCCTTTGAGTGTTGGAGCAGCACCATGACCTCCACCCTTGTTGTGATGTTTGTGTCAGACTGGAGGCTCCTCTTCTCCTCTCCGTCTCTCCCCCTGCTCGCCGTGTGTTGGATCCTCCTGCTGCTCATCATGGGCCTTCGTATCTACTGTGAGTACCTTCTGGGTGGAGCGAGTCCACGCCGGCTTCCTCTCAGCTTCATCTAAGACCAATCAATCATGAGGAGTTTTCAACATTTAGAGCTCAGGATTCAATCTGTGTGACTCCAGAGACAGTGAGTCTAAAGACGGCTGCATGCATGAACACCCATAGTGTGACACCTGCCATGATCATGAAACACCTCTGTGTCACATGGGTTATTTAAAGGATCCAAACAAACAACGAGACCAACACTTCCCTCTGATCATATTTCAGTTTCTTCCGTCATTTCTGAACAAAACGTCAAGCTGATAAAAGAGAACCAGGAGCTGATGAAAGAGAACCAGGAGCTGATGAAAGAGATCCAGGAGCTGAGTACAGGTAACCTGAAGCGATGCACAGAGCAACAGAATAGATTCATCTCACCTGAATGTTTATACATCCACAGTTCAAATTAAACTTCAGAATGAAGAACTTCTTCTGCTTCAGATTACTGAATAGTTACATATATTGGAGACGTTATATAATAGGAATGAAAGGATGAGTGAAGAGATATTCTATATTCTTCTAACAAGTCCTGTGATTCAATCCCAACGAGCTCTGTTGTATCTCAAAAGTGTGTGTGTGCCATTGATTTCCATTAAAAACAGATCAATGAGCCTCATGATCCTTCATAAACACACAAGATGGACAAGTAAAATTGACCAAAACCAAGTTATATTATTACCATCAATAAATAGTCCAAATTTCATTTTCAGTTACTACAATAAGTGATGAAATAACAGAGATGAACCAGTTAAGAGAAAACCTGCTGGCGGCCAAACAAGAGCTGAGAAACTTCAGTGAGCAGCTGAACTTAGAGAAGGAAGACTCGAGAAAGAAACTCAACAGTCTGAAGCTGCAGCTGGAAAACATGACGCAAAACTATAATCTCTCAGAAGGTAAGAACACGAAGCTGGAGAACGAGATCCAGCAGCTGAAGGAGAACTTCACAAAACAAATCACAGACCTGGAGGACAAGTGGGAGAAGTTCAATGTCAGCAGAGCTCAGTGGACCATCGACTCCTACTGCCCAGCAGATACAAGTAAAGGTATCATCACTTTACATTAATCAGTCCACAAAGAACCAATAACAATATCACAATGAGGCTGTTTGTTGGTTCTTTGTTCTTTCAGCGAGAACGTGTTCAGCTTGTCAGAAAGGCTGGTACCAGATCCAGAAGAGCTGCATTGTGCTTCATAACAGTGAAGCTCCTCCTGATCCTAAAACCTGGGAAGAAGCTCGAGAGAACTGCAGAGGAAGGGATGCAGATCTGTTTGTTGTTCATGATGAGGAGGAAAAGGTGATGAGAGACCTGAGGGAACGTTTATGATATAAATATTAAATATAAATGGTTTTCTGTAGTTGAGTCTGTAGGACTAGTTTACAGGTAACAACATATAAATATGAATAATATAAATAAGTACTTACATCCTTTACTTAACCTCACACAACTCTTCTCTATAAAGACACACAAGACACTTTAATAACTTACTTCAAATAAACACTTTATTTCTCTGGTTTATTTTATCTTTGTAAATTGTCATTTCTTCTCTTTCACAGAACGTAATCGATGGTTACATCAGAGAGCTCGCTGTACCTAACGGGTACTGGATGGGCCTGAGGGTTGAAGGAGGGACGTGGAAGTGGATCAATGGAACTAATCTGACTGACGCGTAAGTGACACATTCTTTAACATCATGAATCATTTCTTCTATCATTGTTTCATCTGAACATCATGTTGTTCCTTCAGATCCTTGATAGAACCTCCTGCTGAAGGTCACTGTGCCGTTTCTCTCGGGACCAGAACATGGACATCAGTGAAGTGTGCTGAGAAGAGAACAAGGATCTGCTCACAGAAAGCTTTGTCTGTTTAAACGTCTCATCTTTCATTCTCCAGAAGGTTCCTGGATGCTCCTACATGTGACATCAAGTGGCTCATCAACATACAAACATGTAGGATTCTACTTCACAACTATGATTTTATTCAAGGTTTTCATTTCTACAGAAAATAGCTTTTATTTTCTAAAGTGTTGTGTTCTTCAAAGCAAATCTCAGCTTCAAGGTGTTTTATTGGATCCAATAGATACTTTGAGTGTGAATTCAGACGTCAGGACCAAACTGTTGATTGTTCATAACTTCCTGTGTGTTTCCTTGTGATCTGATTTACACATCAGCAGCTTCCTGATTTCTCCCTGATTAATTTCTTCTTGTTTCTACCTTTGACCAGCAGGGGGCGCTGCCTGCTGGTTCTCTGCACTTTGCATCAATACTTAGAACCATGTTGAACTTGCACAGCTGATGTTTCTCAGTTTATCTTTGTAGCAGCAGGTTCATCTTTTGGTCTGTTGTTGTTGTTGTTGTTGTGAATAAATGTGCAGCCACACGTTGTTGTTTGTCTCTTTTTATCGGCGTGAATCCTTCAACAAGCTTCAGTGGCGTCAGGAAGAGTCGCCTCCTTCAGGTGCTGTGACGCGTTAAAGCAGAAGGCCGTCCCACTGTGAACATCTGCAGCAGCAGAGCTCCACAGAGGACCAGGAAGTGTCCCTCAAGTCTCCCGCTGTCCATCTCCGTTAAAGAACACCTTCACTGCCGCCACATTAAGTGTCTACTGATGTCAACTTGGAGCGTATTGGCATCATCTCAAATGTCTTTGACTCTAATCTGTCTCTACAGACCGTCATCGTCCAGATGTGAATCTTATCATCCTCTTAATTCCATGTGAAAGGGATGTGACTTTGACAAAGAGGTTATATTAATGGGTGATTTTAATGTAAACTGGGAGGATAAGTCTGGAACAAGATCCCTAAAACGTCCAAGTGATTGTTTTAATGTGACCCAGTTAGTGAACAAACCCACAAAGATAAGCCACTCTTCTCCGTCCCAGATTCATTTGATTTTAAACAATAAACCAGAAAGAACGATCAAAACACACAGTACACACTAAAAACTGCTGGGTTATTTCATCTACCCAAACGCTGAGTTATGACATGTTCTACCCATTATGGGTCATTTATAGGGGGGTTGGGTTATTTTTGTGCAACTCATGCGCTGAGTCAAAATTCATCGACCCAACATCCATCGGTTGACCCAGCAGCCGGGTTGTTTTGAACCACAGAAGTCTGCAAAACCCCTGCAAAAGCGCGTAGGTAACCCCACACAGCCACCAACGCCTGACCCCACAGTGACACAAGAACACTCCCTTTTTGGATCAGGAGCTGCCACGGTAAGAACGTTTTACCCTGCTTGTATTCATCAAAATGTTTTTTAAATTGAATCCTTATACTAATACAGCTCCATCTTATTTTATCTTCTTTTTTAGCCTGGAAGGAACATGGTCGAGTACCTTCATGAGGCCAAGGCATCCAGACTCACCCGTATGTCCTGACTCTGGGAAACGACAAGCATCAAGCATCCAGGCCTTCGTCATCATTGCTGGACAGGCTCTGGTACACGACACGCCGCTTCAGGCCATCGATGTCTGCTTAGAGGCGTTCTTTGTGATGGACATCAAATACCCGAAGCAATGGGAACATGTGTGGGAATTCCTGCAGGCTGTTTATAAAATGCCAGCAGCGGGTTCCAAGTTAGTAAAGTTCCTCCAAAGTCGATTACTTGCTTGCAAGTAGAGGCTCAAGGGCCGCTGGTTAGTAAACATGTTAAACCGGTTAGTTGTTACTTGTTTTGTCATGATAATAAAATGAGTGTCTCTTTGTGGACACAAGAGATTTGAGGATGTCATCTTGTGGTTTTTCAACATTTGACATTTTATACACAACAACTAATTGATTAATCATTTACATAATTGACAGATTAATCGATAATGGAAATAATCATTAGTTGCAGCCCCATTTTGTTGATAGTGATTAAAACTTACAATTCATTTTATATTGTGGATGTTTCATGATATGTTAATTTTAGAATACAAAACAAGCCAAATTGGGTTATTTTTAACCCAACCTTTTTTAGTGTGTGTGCTGACTGGTTTGTCCGACCATGTTTTAATACTCTTAACAAGGAAACTTACTCAGAAGCGTGTCAATATGTCGTCTACCAGAAAGGCCATTTAAGAACATCTAAAAGTGACCAACGTGCTTTTGAGGACATCTTCTTATCCACAAAACACACAATTAAACCGTCCTTAAAAAGCCAAAGTTAAACTAAACCAAAAAAACGCACTTTCATGGGTAAATAATGACAACTGGAATTTTTCTGATAAAAACGAATTTGAGGAAGCCTGTCACGACCCGGCAGAACACAGGACACAGTTGCAGGGTTTCATGGGATTTGTAGTCTTTGTTAGTGAGACTGGATCTCCAAGGCAGAGAAAATAAATAGCAGCTATAAAAAGGATCTAGATCACTTTAGCGTCCCTTCAACTTGGAAGAAACAGGCTTGGGAGTGTTTCCAGACGGGTGTACTTTCATTCAGATGAGTGTGCATAGCACCAGCACCGTGACAACTAAAAAGGGAAATAACAAAGGCAATTTAGCCAGATACAAATAATCCTTTGACAAATGCACTTTAGCATACATGGATAACAGCATAGCAACAGTCATTATATGAAACGAATTTACATGAAATACAATGAAATACAATCACAATGAAGCACATACCTCGCTCCGCATATCGAAGGCTGCTATAAAGTGGTGATCCAGGGAAGTCCGCCGCCATTAGCTTAACTTATTTAGTTGCTAGCTAGCTTCTCGTGTCTTCTATTGAACAAATGTGAGCGCGAGCGATTAATCACGTGAGCAGATAGTATGACGTCAAAATAAAAGTCACATAAAATCGAAGTAGGAAACAGGATCATCAAAATAAAAGAACACTGCTAGTGGTCATTTTACAATCACACTTCTCCCAATAAATCATTTAGGAAGAAGTGTGGCTATAAAAATGATCAACCCAAAGTGGCTCCACTCGAGGAGGAAAACCAAAAGGCTTTTAACTTTGTCAGAATATCAGGTAAGAACTCTTCGCTTAACAACAAACACTCCTTAAAACTGGAGGCACCATGAAAGATTAAAACTAAATTCTCTCCTTACGGAGGAAACAAAGCACTATGAAACATTAAGCATTAAAATACATCTATGACACAAAATGAGCGTCACTCTCCTGGAGGAAACAATGGAACAGAACACGATGACGTGGTTCTCCAGGCCTGTAAACTATGGCGAGCGAACGCATGAACCCGAGGACGGAAACGAGGACACTGCAGAGGACAAATGGAGACGCAGACTATTAGTGCACGTGGAGGGCGATGGGGAACAGGAGGACACAATCAGGAATCAGGAAGACAATCAGACTGGTGACACGTGACGAAGGGACAGTGACCTGAAACGAGAGGAGTTACTATTTCAAAATAAAACAGGAAATGACAAGACAAAAAAGACCAGACAAAATAAAACAAACCCAACCAGTTCAGCGCGGTGTGACAAAGGCAATATTATCATTGTATTGTGTGTGTGTGGGTAAGAAGGCAGCTACCTGAGATACATTATCATCACTAGTTCATAAAGTAAGTTAAAACAGACAAAATGTAAAAGACAACGAAGAATGTAACTGATAGACGACCAGAAGTTGTCATCAGCTCAGATCATAATTCAGGAAGTTGCAGCGGGGGGCAAAGTGATTTAAATACCCACACGGCCACCAGCTCAGAGCAGAAGTGCACTGAAGAGCCTCAGAGCGGAGCAGCACTCATCCACATCTGCATCAGGACTCTGAACATCTGTTCACGATGAGCGGAAAGCCAGCGGATGAAGCAGGTATACGTGAGATTACCTTATATACATTATTATACATGAGATATAATGTTAACTATTCTATAACTAGGCTGAGTGTTCATAACTTAATCTGTTGTCAGTCTGGTGTTTGTTCACCGGTTTTGTTACGCTCTTTTGAGGACAGAGTTTAGATTCATAACTTCATGTTTATTAAACTTTAACGTCTTGTCTGTATCCACAGTATCATTGTGCATTAAAAGGGTTTTAATCTCCACTACGGAGAAGTGGATACAAGCGCAGCGTTTCACAGAAGTCCTGCTGAGAACAGGCCTAAAACTACAATCTGGGACATAAATAGTAATATTTATAAACTTGGACCGACACAAGGACAGAAGTCCGTTCTTAAAAGCATATTAGAAAGAACGTAAGGCGCTTTTCACTGTTCAAAACCTGCACTCTTTGCTTCCTTCTTCTGGTGTAACGGAGATGCTTCAGTATGCTGGTGAGACTTCATGCATTTACACCAGTGAGATGCTCTAATGTTCACTAGTGAGATGGTCTAATGTTCAATAGTGAGAAGGTCTAATGTTCACTAGTGAGATACTCTAATGTTCACCATTGAGATGGTCTAATGTTCACTAGTGAGATGCTCTAATGTTCACTAGTGAGATGCTCTAATGTTTACTAGTGAGATGGTCTAATGTTCACTAGTGAGATACTCTAATGTTCACTAGTGAGATGATCTAATGTTCACTAGTGAGATGGTCTAATGTTCACTAGTAAGATACTCTAATGTTCACTAGTGAGATGGTCTAATGTTCACTAGTGAGATGCTCTAATGTTCACTAGTGAGATGCTCTAATGTTCACTAGTGAGATGCTATAATGTTCAATGGTGAGATGGTCTAATGTTTACTAGTGAGATGCTCTAATGTTTACTAGTGAGATGCTCTAATGTTCACTAGTGAGATGGTCTAATGTTCACCAGTGAGATGCTCTAATGTTCACTAGTGAGATGCTCTAATGTTCACTAGTGAGATGCTCTTATGTTCACTAGTGAGATGCTCTAATGTTCACTAGTGAGATGGTCTAATGTTCACCAGTGAGATGCTCTAATGTTCACTAGTGAGATGCTCTAATGTTCACTAGTGAGATGCTCTTATGTTCACTAGTGAGATGGTCTAATGTTCACTAGTGAGATTACTCGTATGAATACATGTGAAACGCCTGCACATTCTCATGTGAGAGCATACATACATATATCTGAAAAAGTTATACATACACATTTGAAACATTTACATACATATGTAAACATTGCATATGTATCTAAACTTTTTATATCTTTGTAATCCTCAAGAGATTATGAATGTATAAGTGTTCAACTATATATATAGAACCTTTTCATATGTGCGTGTGTGGTGGCCGACCTTTGCACTTCCTCATTTTGGTGCCCAGGACTCCGCTTCCTGACACACACGATGTCGCTCCCATAGAAACCACTCAATACTTCTCATTTACGTTGTTTATTTAAGTTTTACATTTGGTCGTTTCATTTGAACACGATTAACATGATTAGTGGACAACGTGAGGTCAAAGGTCTGTGCCGATGTCCCGTCCAATACAAAAGCCAGCCCCCGTGCCTCAGCCCCCCTCCTCTTATCCACTGACCCTCGTCAGGTGAATCTAATGAATCATGAAGAGAGTTATTTTAAATATGAATGAAAAAATACTTTAAGTTAATACACATAATTACACAAAAGACAGATACATATAAATGTCACCATAAATATATGATTGTATTTAATGTAATGTAATCAACTGGAATCATGCATGTAATACTTGCACTACTGGTATTGACTGAGAGACATTTGAAATCCGAGTTCCATTGAACTCACCAGAAGACTCCCAGAGGAGTGGACACTAACTTCCACACCTTCACGGATCGTTATAAATACCTGTAGGAACCATTGTTCTGGAGTTCGCTGGTGGAGGCGGCAGACGGGCACTATGGGGGGTCAAAAGGACTGACCTGGGGCCTGTTGGTTGCTGAGACCAGCGGCTCCTCAGCTGAGATGTTCTTTTTACCACAACACCATCTCCTTTCTTAAATACATTTGATTTGAACCTTTCGATCTGCGATGACCTCTGTCCGTCCAGCGTTTCTTCATTTTTGAACCTAACACGAGCCCCATAAAACATGGAGGTAGCAGACTGAACACACATCTGTGTGACAGATCAGTGCGTGGGCAGCAATCAGGGAACGTTCTGCTTTGAGTGAATATCATCTACTGGAGGACAGGCTGTCCTTCAGGCCTCAGTGAAGATGTGGATTCTTATCAGAGTCCGGCTGTAGTTGCCGATCTGTTTCAACCACTTTTTTGGCCCATTCTATTGGACCAGACTGACAGGCGGGAAAGAGCGACGCCTCCTTTAGCCGCTCAGAGGTCAAAACGGGAAGAGCGTACAATGACGCTGGAGAGTTACGATTGACTTAGAAAAAAAACCCTGACCCCCAAAACCTGCGCGGAAGAATAAAGTACGTAAGCAGCGCTGTGTGCAAATCATCTGGACTAATTTACATAACATAACACATATTACTCCGAACCGGTGAAGCTCGGGCTGAACAGGTGAACAGGTGACAAAGGTCTCAGGCCAAAGATAAAGTATTTACAGCTGCATGTTTGCTTGTGACGCTGTGACCTCAGACAACATCCCGACGGTGGAAGTGGATTCCAGAGTTCCTCTTTGGCGTCTTCGTGATGAACACTTTGTTGTCTTCTCTTTCAGAGGGAGTCATTGAGGACAATGAATACGTGAACGCACCAGTACGTCCTGAGGACAAAGCCCCCCCAGGTGCACGCTGAACACCACCCACTTCATGTGCTTGTCATGCATTTAAGGCCTTTGAGTGTTGGAGCAGCACCATGACCTCCACCCTTGTTGTGATGTTTGTGTCAGACCGGAGGCTCCTCTTCTCCTCTCCGTCTCTCCCCCTGCTCGCCGTGTGTTGGATCCTCCTGCTGCTCATCATGGGCCTTCGTATCTACTGTGAGTACCTTCTGGGTGGAGCGAGTCCACGCCGGCTTCCTCTCAGCTTCATCTAAGACCAATCAATCATGAGGAGTTTTCAACCTTTAGAGCTCAGGATTCAATCTGTGTGACTCCAGAGACAGTGAGTCTAAAGACGGCTGCATGCATGAACACCCATAGTGTGACACCTGCCATGATCATGAAACACCTCTGTGTCACATGGGTTATTTAAAGGATCCAAACAAACAACGAGACCAACACTTCCCTCTGATCATATTTCAGTTTCTTCCGTCATTTCTGAACAAAACGTCAAGTTGATAAAAGAGAACCAACAGCTGAAGACAGAGAACCAGGAGCTGATGAAAGAGATCCAGGAGCTGAGTACAGTTAACCTGAAGCGATGCACAGAGCAACAGAATAGATTCATCTCACGTGGATGTTTCTACATCCACAGTTCAAATTAAACTTCAGAATGAAGAACTTATTCTGCTTCAGATTACTGAATAGTTACATATATTGGAGACGTTATATAATAGGAATGAAAGGATGAGTGAAGAGATATTCTATATTCTTCTAACAAGTCCTGTGATTCAATCCCAACGAGCTCTGTTGTATCTCAAAAGTGTGTGTGTGCCATTGATTTCCATTAAAAACAGATCAATGAGCCTCATGATCCTTCATAAACACACAAGATGGACAAGTAAAATTGACCAAAACCAATTTATATTGTTACCATCAATAAATAGTCCAAATTTCATTTTCATTTTTGATACAATAAGTGATGAAATAACAGAGATGAACCAGTTAAGAGAAAACCTGCTGGCGGCCAAACAAGAGCTGAGAAACCTCAGTGAGCAGCTGAACTTAGAGAAGGAAGACTCGAGAAAGGAACTCAACAGTCTGAAGCTGCAGCTGGAAAACATGACGCAAAACTATAATCTCTCAGAAGGTAAGAACACGAAGCTGGAGAACGAGATCCAGGAGCTGAAGACAGAGAACCAGGAGCTGAAGGAGAACTTCACAAAACAAATCACAGACCTGGAGGACAACTGGGAGAAGTTCAATGTCAGCAGAGCTCAGTGGACCATCGACTCCTACTGCCCAGCAGATACAAGTAAAGGTATCATCACTTTACATTAATCAGTCCACAAAGAACCAATAACAATATCACAATGAGGCTGTTTGTTGGTTCTTTGTTCTTTCAGCGAGAACGTGTTCAGCTTGTCAGAGAGGCTGGGACCAGATCCAGAAGAGCTGCTATGTGTTTTATAACAGTGAAGCTCCTCCTGATCCTAAAACCTGGGAAGAAGCTCGAGAGAACTGCAGAGGAAAGAGAGCAGATCTGTTTGTTGTTCATGATGAGGAGGAAAAGGTGATGAGAGACCTGAGGGAAAGTTTATGATATAAATATTAAATATAAATGGTTTTCTGTAGTTGAGTCTGTAGGACTAGTTTACAGGTAACAACATATAAATATGAATCATATAAATAAGTACTGACATCCTTGGGACCTTTACTTAACCTCACACAACTCTTCTCTATAAAGACACACAAGACACTTTAATAACTTACTACAAATAAACACTTTATTTCTCTGGTTTCTTTTATCTTTGTAAATTGTCATTTCTTCTCTTTCACAGAACGTAATCGATGGTAAGATCACACACATCCCTGTATCTAAGGGGTACTGGATGGGCCTGAGGGTTGAAGGAGGGACGTGGAAGTGGATCGATGGAACTGATCTGACGAACGCGTAAGTGACACATTCTTTAACATCATGAATCATTTCTTCTATCATTGTTTCATCTGAACATCATGTTGTTCCTTCAGCTCCTGGATAGAACCTCCTGCTGAAGGTTACTGTGCCGTTTCTCTCGGGAACAAAGGATGGACATCAGTGAAGTGTGATGAGAAGAGAACAAGGATCTGCTCACAGAAAGCTTTGTCTGTTTAAACGTCCCATCTTTCATTCTCCAGAAGGTTCCTGGATGCTCCTACATGGGACATCAAGTGGCTCATCAACATACAAACATGTAGGATTCTACTTCACAACTATGATTTTATTCAAGGTTTTCATTTCTACAGAAAATAGCTTTTATTTTCTAAAGTGTTGTGTTCTTCAAAGCAGAATCTCAGCTTCAAGGTGTTTTATTGGATCCAATAGATACTTTGAGTGGGAATTCAGACGTCAGGACCAAACTGTTGATTGTTCATAACTTCCTGTGTGTTTCCTTGTGATCTGTTAGAGAAGCAACGCTTGTGATTTACACATCAGCAGCTTCCTGATTTATTTCTTCTTGTTTCTACCTTTGACCAGCAGGGGGCGCTGCCTGCTGGTTCTCTGCACTTTGCATCAATACTTAGAACCATATTGAACTTGCACAGCTGATGTTTCTCAGTTTATCTTTGTAGCAGCAGGTTCATCTTTTGGTCTCTTGTTGTTGTTGTTGTTGTTGTTAATAAATGTGCAGCCACAGGTTGTTGTTTGTCTCTTTTTATCGGCGTGAATCCTTCAACAAGCTTCAGTGGCGTCAGGAAGAGTCGCCTCCTTCAGGTGCTGTGACGCGTTAAAGCAGAAGGCCGTCCCACTGTGAACATCTGCAGCAGCAGAGCTCCACAGAGGACCAGGAAGTGTCCCTCAACAAGTCTCCCGCTGTCCATCTCACATTGATCACATGTTGACTTCTTTTGTTGTGTTGGTGGTGTCACATGAACGGGCGGATGAAGTCACCACCTGTTGAGGTTCCTCGTGTTCGTGTTTTCACGCCCGTCGTGCAGTGCATGCTGGGATACGCCCCCCCAGGTCTCTGAGCAGACACACTGAGCAGCTGTAGGGCTGATTAATGGATTATTAACATGATGGACTCTTGTAGAGCGAGTGTGTGTTAAGAACTACTTTGTGTGCGTCAGATAGAAATGTGTGTGTGTGCGTTACCGCGCGTTACCATGACGACAGCTCGCCCGCCCTCGTCCCCCTGCACTCAGTCATCATGCTTCCCTGCATGTTTTTAGCGTGTAACCATGCAGCTTGATCTCCTCTCTGTCCGTGTCTCTGTCAGAATGGTCCCTCGTTTACTGGCTGCGTCTCCGTGCTTCATGTCTTCATGGTGTTGATGAAGCAGTAAGAGGGCTTCCTGAGTCACGTGTCTACGTATTTTCATCTTCTCTCTTCTTTTATTCTCTCTGCGTGTTTTGTAAAGGCTCCGTAGTGCAAAGCCGATGAGTTTGTTCAGTTCAGTTCAGAGGCTACAGATAAAAAATCACTGTTATAACTCTGACACATTCAGAGGAATCTTTTAATGTGTAATTTCCCTCCCAAATAAACCTATTTTAAAAATGGAGGAGTTGACAGCAGCGCGAGAATGTGCCCCAAAGTTTGGGTCAAAACCTCAAAAAGAGAAGAACGCTTTGTGAAGCAGAAGTAAAAACCAGACTGAACGTGAATGAACACACTGACTTCTACATTTTCTTAAAGGCGCAAATGTTACTTATTTTTTTCCTTCTTATCAGCAGCACCCAGGCAGGGGGCCACAAAACCACCAGCTCAGAGCAGAAGTGCACTGAAGAGCCTCAGCGCGGATCAGCACTCATCCACATCTGCATCAGGACTCTGAACATCTGTTCACGATGAGCAGAAAGCCAGCGGATGAAGCAGGTATACGTGAGATTACATTATATACATTATTATACATGAGATATAATGTTAACTATTCTATAACTAGGCTGAGTGTTCATAACTTAATCTGTTGTCAGTCTGGTGTTTGTTCACCGGTTTTGTTACGCTCTTTTGAGGACAGAGTTTAGATTCATAACTTCATGTTTATTAAACTTTAACGTCTTGTCTGTATCCACAGTATCATTGTGCATTAAAAGGGGTTTAATCTCCACTACGGAGAAGTGGATACAAGCGCAGCGTTTCAAAGAAGTCCTGCTGAGAACAGGCCTAAAACTACAATCTGAGACATAAATAGTAATATTTATAAACTTGGACCGACACAAGGACAGAAGTCCGGTCTTAAAAGCATATTAGGAAGAACGTAAGGCGTTTTTCACTGTTCAAAACCTGCACTCTTTGCTTCCTTCTTCTGGTGTAACGGAGATGCTTCAGTATGCTGGTGAGACTTCATGTATTTACACTAGTGAGCTGCTCTTATGTTCATCGGGGCGCAGGGGGTAGAGCGGGTGCGCTGGGAACCGCAAGGTTGGTGGTTGAAGTCCCGGCTGCCACATGTTTAAAGTCGAAGTGTCCCTGAGCCAAGACACCCAACCCCTAATTGCTCCCCGGGCAAAATGTGAAAAAGCCATGGGTTTAAAATGTAATGTAAGTCGCTTTGGATAAAAGCGTCAGCTAAATGACCTGTAATGTAATGTTCACTAGTGAGATGCTCTAATGTTCACTAGTGTAAGGGCAACAGGTATAGGAACCCAAAAGCACAACTCCGAGGCAGAATCCAATCAAAAGTTCTTTACTTATACAGGCAGGGTCAAAACCGGAATAGCAGTCCAATGGGCAAACATATCCAGAGGGGCAGGCAGGAAATCCGTACAGGCAGTGTTCAGAAACAGGATGGAAAACCGACTGGCAAGCAAGTCCAAAAAGGGCGCAGACGAAGGGTTCGTGGTTAAGAGAAGGCCGGCTAGGTCAGGACGGGATATCGGTAATCGGAAAAACGAAGAAAAACTTGGCATGCACACAAGACAATCTGGCAGGGAACAAACAAATATGATGGCCTTAAATAGTGAGTGGCTGATGACGGGATGTGCTTCAGGTGAGAGCAAGGAGATCCAGGTGTGGGTACTGAGCTGATGATGTGGGAGGATCTGAAATGACAGGAGAGTTAGATAACATGCAGTGAAGGTTAAATTAAACATGCAGTGAAGATTAAAATAAACTATGATGTGGTCTATTGTGTGACAACTAGTGAGATGCTCTAACGTTCACTAGTGAGATGCTCTTATGTTCACTAGTATGATGCTCTTATATTCACTAGCGAGATGCGCCTATCAAGTGACGTTATCACTACTTTCTACTTTCTGGAATACACCACGCTCATCCAGTAAGGGTACTGTTGGCGGTGGAAACGCTCACCAAATCATGGTTAACAGACCGGACCCGTACCGACCCGACCCGTACCGTACCATACCACTCGGTGGAAACGCGCCATTAGGTTCACTAGTGAGATGCTCTTATGGTCACTAGCGAGATGCTCTTATTTTCACTGTTGTGATGCTCTTATGTTTACTAGTGAGATGCTCTTATATTCACTAGTGAGCTGCTCTAATGTTTACTAGTGAGCTGCTCTAATGTTCACTAGTGTGATGCTCTTATGTTCACTAGTGAGATGCTCTAATGTTTACTAGTGAGATTACTCGTATGAATACATGTGAAACGCTTGCACATTCTCATGTGAGAGCATACATACATATAACTGAAAAAGTTATAAATACACATTTGAAACATTTACATAAATATATGTAAACACTTGCATATGTATCTAAACTTTGTATCTTTGTAATCCTCAAGAGATTATGAATGTATAAGTGTTCAACTATATATATAGAACCTTTTCATATGTGCGTGTGTGGTGGCCGGCCTTTGCACTTCCTCATTTTGGTGCCCAGGACTCCGCTTCCTGACACACACGTTGTTGTCGCTCCCATAGAAACCCCTCAATACTTCTCATTTACGTTGTTTATTTAAGTTTTACATTTGGTCGTTTCATTTGAACACGATTAACATGATTAGTGGACAACGTGAGGTCAAAAGTCTGTGCCGATGTCCCGTCCAATACAAAAGCCAGCCCCCGTGCCTCAGCCCCCCCTCCTCTTATCCACTGACCCTCGTCAGGTGAATCTAATGAATCATAAAGAGTTATTTCAAATATGAATGAAAAAATAGTTTAAGTGAATACACATAATTCCTACCAACTAAAATATGGCTCTGACAGCCATCAGATAGATACATATAAATGTTTCATTTCATTCATATGTGTATAAGACACAGCAGTGTATATAAATGCGTATGTGTTTCTCATATATACGTGTTTCAGTTGACTATGTATAATGTTTTATATATGTGGGTGCATCTGTTTACCTAGTATGTATGTATGTATGTATGTGTGAGAGTGTCTCAGTATTTAAGTCCTAAACGGCTCCTAATAAGTCAGTTTCTATGTTACTGGTGAAGAAATAAATGAATTTAAGACACAGAAAATTGCCTAAAAAAAGATTCAGGGCCTCGTTTTTGTTCTTAGCTTTTAGCTTTAATAAGAATAAAGTACGTAAGCAGCGCTGTGTGCAAATCATCTGGACTAATTTACATAACATATAGTCTAACTTGTTGTTCTGATGTACGGGGGGGAACTCACTGTGATGCTGATGTATCAACATCTTAAGAACGTGGATCCGAAGAGGTCGTTCTATGATAAAAAGTGTGATAACTCAACTACTTTGTCTCTCTGGACATTTGTGTATTCAGCACACTGTGAGCGATTCAGGACCTCGTTTTGGTTCTTAGCTTTTAGCTTGGATGAGAATAAAGTACGTAAGCAGCGCTGTGTGCAAATCATCTGGACTAATTTACACAACATATTGTCTAACTTGTTGAAGTTGTGTTTGGAGCCTTTTCAGACGTATAAGTGGAGACTGTAGCCAAGACTTGAATATTTGTATATTTGACCAAAATCAACTCCGAAACGGTGAAGCTCGGGCTGAACAGGTGAACAGGTGAACAGGTGACAAAGGTCTCAGGCCAAAGATAAAGTATTTACAGCTGCATGTTTGCTTGTGACGCTGTGACCTCAGACAACATCCCGACGGTGGAAGTGGATTCCAGAGTTCCTCTTTGGCGTCTTCGTGATGAACACTTTGTTGTCTTCTCTTTCAGAGGGAGTCATTGAGGACAATGAATACGTGAACGCACCAGTACGTCCTGAGGACAAAGCCCCCCCAGGTGCACGCTGAACACCACCCACTTCATGTGCTTGTCATGTATTTAAGGCCTTTGAGTGTTGGAGCAGCACCATGACCTCCACCCTTGTTGTGATGTTTGTGTCAGACCGGAGGCTCCTCTTCTCCTCTCCGTCTCTCCCCCTGCTCGCCGTGTGTTGGATCCTCCTGCTGCTCATCATGGGCCTTCGTATCTACTGTGAGTACCTTCTGGGTGGAGCGAGTCCACGCCGGCTTCCTCTCAGCTTCATCTAAGACCAATCAATCATGAGGAGTTTTCAACCTTTAGAGCTCAGGATTCAATCTGTGTGACTCCAGAGACAGTGATTCTAAAGACGGCTGCATGCATGAACACCCATAGTGTGACACCTGCCATGATCATGAAACACCTCTGTGTCACATGGGTTATTTAAAGGATCCAAACAAACAACGAGACCAACACTTCCCTCTGATCATATTTCAGTTTCTTCCGTCATTTCTGAACAAAACGTCAAGCTGATAAAAGAGAACCAACAGCTGATGAAAGAGAACCAACAGTTGATGAAAGAGAACCAACAGTTGATGAAAGAGAACCAACAGTTGATGAAAGAGAACCAACAGTTGATGAAAGAGAACCAGGAGCTGATGAAAGAGAACCAACAGCTGAAGACAGAGAACCAGGAGCTGATGAAAGAGAACCAGGAGCTGATGAAAGAGATCCAGGAGCTGAGTACAGGTAACCTGAAGCGATGCACAGAGCAACAGAATAGATTCATCTCACCTGGATGTTTCTACATCCACAGTTCAAATTAAACTTCAGAATGAAGAACTTCTTCTGCTTCAGATTACTGAATAGTTACATATATTGGAGACGTTATATAATAGGAATGAAAGGATGAGTGAAGAGATATTCTATATTCTTCTAACAAGTCCTGTGATTCAATCCCAACGAGCTCTGTTGTATCTCAAAAGTGTGTGTGTGCCATTGATTTCCATTAAAAACAGATCAATGAGCCTCATGATCCTTCATAAACACACAAGATGGACAAGTAAAATTGACCAAAACCAATTTATATTATTACCATCAATAAATAGTCCAAATTTCATTTTCATTTTTGATACAATAAGTGATGACATAACAGAGATGAACCAGTTAAGAGAAAACCTGCTGGCGGCCAAACAAGAGCTGAGAAACTTCAGTGAGCAGCTGAACTTAGAGAAGGAAGACTCGAGAAAGGAACTCAACAGTCTGAAGCTGCAGCTGGAAAACATGACGCAAAACTATAATGTCTCAGAAGGTAAGAACACCGAGCTGAAGAACGTGATCCAGGAGCTGAAGACAGAGAACCAGGAGCTGAAGGAGAACTTCACAAAACAAATCACAGACCTGGAGGACAACTGGGAGAAGTTCAATGTCAGCAGAGCTCAGTGGACCATCGACTCCTACTGCCCAGCAGATACAAGTAAAGTTATCATCACTTTACATTAATCAGTCCACAAAGAACCAATAACAATATCACAATGAGGCTGTTTGTTGGTTCTTTGTTCTTTCAGTGAGAACGTGTTCAGCTTGTCAGAAAGGCTGGAACGAGACCCAGAAGAGCTGCATTGTGCTTCATAACAGTGAAGCTCCTCCTCATCTTAAAACCTGGGAAGAAGCTCGAGAGAACTGCAGAGGAAGAGGAGCAGATCTGGTTGTTGTTCATGATGAGGAGGAAAAGGTGATGAGAGACCTGAGGGAACGTTTATGATATAAATATTAAATATAAATGGTTTTCTGTAGTTGAGTCTGTAGGACTAGTTTACAGGTAACAACATATAAATATGAATAATATAAATAAGTACTTACATCCTTTACTTAACCTCACACAACTCTTCTCTATAAAGACACTTTAATAACTTCCTTCAAATAAACACTTTATTTCTCTGGTTTCTTTTATCTTTGTAAATTGTCATTTCTTCTCTTTCACAGAACGTAATCGATGCTAAGATCACACACATCCCTGTATCTAAGGGGTACTGGATGGGCCTGAGGGTTGAAGGAGGGACGTGGAAGTGGATCGATGGAACTAATCTGACTGACGCGTAAGTGACACATTCATTAACATCATGAATCATTTCTTCTATCATTGTTTCATCTGAACATCATGTTGTTCCTTCAGCTCCTGGATAGGACCTCCTGCTGAAGGTCACTGTGCCGTTTCTCTCCCGACCAGAAAATGGACATCAGTGAAGTGTGATGAGAAGAGAACAAGGATCTGCTCACAGAAAGCTTTGTCTGTTTAAACGTCTCATCTTTCATTCTCCAGAAGGTTCCTGGATGCTCCTACATGTGACATCAGGTGGCTCATCAACATACAAACATGTAGGATTCTACTTTTAGGTTTTATTTTCTAAAGTGTTGTGTTCTTCAAAGCAGAATCTCAGCTTCAAGGTGTTTTATTGGATCCAAAGATACTTTGAGCGTGAATACAGACGCCACGACCAAAACTGTGTGTTTACTTGTGATCTGTTGGAGAAGCAATGCTTATGATTTACACATCAGCAGATTGATGATCAGCGTTCCTTTTTCTCCCTGATTTATTTCATGTTGTTGCTGCCATTAACCAGCACAGTGGCGGATTGATGCAAACGTAACAACTTTAAAATCTGTGATAGTCATCATCACTTTGTCCATCAGATGGTCTCAATGCAGATATTTATTTGTGTTTAGTCTCATAACAACACATGACAATTTACGTTAGTACGCTTTGAGCTTATGAAATATAAAGTGTGTGCAAACAAGGTAAAGCAATAAATCACCATTATCACAATATCACTTTTTTTCAGTTATTTTAATTGAACAAACATATTTTACTTTGTTTACCATATTTTTCGGTCAAATATCTTTTGAAAATGGCATTCCATGACATGTCTCCACATGATATTTCTTTTAGTTTTCTTTATACTTCTCTTTGGACCCTAATATGTTTTACTTTCATGACATTTTTCAACGTTATTTTTTTTTACATTTTTGTTAAACACATCTTTTTTTTACCTATTGTTTTTAGACTTTAAAAAAAAACGAAAAAAAAACACTTTTCAATAACACTGTATTTTCTGTGTTGATTACACTACTATTATACTAATGTAACTTAGAGCTAATATATGCCTATAACGCACGTTTAATCAAAAAATATATACCACTTTTATGAAAAATAGTCAGTTATGAAGCAAAACTAAAGCAATTCATCTACTTCCGGTCATGCGCAGAAGCGTCCGGCTTGTCCTCAGTGGAGCGTCAGTGCCATGACAACAGGACGATGGCTGCGAGCGCGAGCGTGACAGGTGGGATTGTTTGCGTAAAGCAGCAGTAACGACGGTTTTGAGGACCGGGACCGGGGACGTGAAGGTAACGACAAGCCGGTGACGAACGTGACTGTGTGCTGGTCTCCCGTCAAGCGACGGCCGCGTCATTGCTCGTTACCCTGCTAGCTCGTATCCAGGTAACCCGGAGAGCTAACGTAACTAGCTAGCGCCGATTAGCCGGCTTAGCTTAAGTTAATACAGCTTGACGTCAGCCGCGTGCTCATTGGCCCGCGTGTGTGATGCTTCATCCTTTGACCCATTGAAAACGGCGTTAATGGTTATTTTATTTTACTTTTGTTGTTACTTTATCACAGAGGACGTGGTTATCACAAGCTGGGCGTGTCGCTAAAGCTACGCAAAGTTTAACTGGTTCACTCTTTTCGCTTTTCACGTAAAACGTTGTGCAACGTTAATAATCCTTACAACAATGTTTGCTTTCTGGAGCTCTTCTGTTTTTATTAGCGTTGAATCACCTGATGACATTTACCTGTGGAAACCTGTCCTGATTTGTCCTCTAAACGTTTCATGCACACCGCGTCTGTCCGGGGACACGGTCCATGAACCAACATGAATCGATCCTGTCACGCAGCGGTCACAGGAAGGTTTTTAACATGAGGATCAAAGCACTTTGCACAAGCATTATTTGCTCTTAAACTGTATTCAGAGGTGGAAGCTAGGGAGAGACAGTATGGAAAAAAAATATATATATATATATATATATATATATATATATGTGTGTGCTTCATCAAAGCCTTTGAACGATTCTGTCAATGAAATATCTTGTTATTCTTAGGTGTAAAGTGCGGGTTATAACGGGTATAAGGCCGGTGTTCTGAGATGGGATCCCTCTCTGCATTAGCTGCTCGTTCCACCAGCTCAGCACTTAGCAGTAGAAAAGCTGCTTGCCCCCTCACACACACACACACACACACACACACACACACACACAGATCCCTCCTCATGTCATGTCATGTGGTTTGGTCTCCTTGTCTGCCATTGGCTGTGGACATTGGTCCAAGCTGTCACCATGCCAACGGCTCAATCACCTCTCCGGTAGAGCTGGTTATTGCCGGAAGTTTGATTCCGGCAATAACTTGTTTAACTTTAAAGATAAACTTGTGGCCGCAAGTATTGAAGCTTGTCCTCTGTTGTGGTGCCTTAAAGCAAGGCACCTCACCGGCCAAACACATTTGTTGCTGCGGCTCAGTGAACAGGAGATCCCTGAGTTTTGTTCATCTATTAGTCAACCAACTGAAATGTACGGATTATGAATAAGAGCGATGTATTTATTTCACACTTTCCCTTCCTCTGTCCAATCCGAGGCAGCATGTCTCTCTTCAAGGCACGTGATTGGTGGTCGGCGGCGCTCGGCGAGGGCGAGGAGTTTGACCAGGGATGCCTCTGTGTCGGCAACGTGGACAACAGCAGCACCGGACACGGTGTGTGTGTGTGTGTGTGTACGGGGGGGGGGATACACTAACCACCACATGGTGTCCACACTGTCTATGACCGTAGTTTATCCATCTGATGAATGGTTAATCTGTCGGGGCTGGAGATGCACCAAAGGACAGCTTTTATTCCTCGACTTTTAAACCAAAATCAACACAAAGAACAGAAGGAGCACAAAAAACAACTTGTCCAAGATTAAAAACGGGTAGACGTGACAGGAAGTGAAGAAAAGGTTTTGAGTGTGATGGTTTCAATAGTTGTACTGTGGCACTGATGAGTTCACCTTCTTTATAAATCTAAGGGGACGAGTTCAGGCACTGATACCTGGTGCGGACACACACACTGAAATCTGACTGCTTCATACGTTGGAAAGCTTTGAAAGCTGCCGCTTTAACACAAAAAACAAGCTTAAAATTCTAATATTCCCATGAGTCCCATGAGGCTCAAATTTCATTAATTCAACTTAGTCTTATGAGGCCAGACGTACTATTATTATCAGGTAGAAGCGTGCAGAGAGGCTGCTGTTGAATTATAGGGTTGGGTTTCCTCTCTGCAGACAAGGTGGTGGTGGGCAGCTACATGGGGATGCTGCGCGTATTCTCCCCACACGCCAAGGACAAGACCAGCGAGGGAGGCCAGGCCGAGGCGCTGCTTCTGGAAGTCCAGCTGCAGAACGCCATCATCCAGGTGGAAGTGGGCAAGTTTGTCTCGTAAGTAAACCCCCAAACGTGACTCCTGTAGACTATGGACGGATGGGAGACTGTTAATCACACTGAAAGCAGTTTGTCCACGTGTTGACTTCGAAAATCCAAAGCATTTACATTCGTTGTTTTATGTCGTGGTTGGTTTTTGGTTTCCTTCGGGGCACGATGTTTTTAGTCCGTATGGGTTTGGCTCTGTGCTAGTGGGGATGTTAGCATGAGACGCTAACTGGTACCACTGGTTGCAGTCGTAGCCTTGTAACTATCAAAAAGAATCCGCTTCTGACTTATCTGACTTCTATTCTGATTAAACTTTACATTGACCTCCCTTCGGCATCCCCGCACTTCTGTCGTTGGTGCGAACCCCACGCCTCGCTAAGCCTCGCTACGCCTCGCCACGCCACGCCTCGCCACGCCACGCCTCGCCTGGGATCTGGTTTCTGGCTCCAGTGGCTTTTACCTCGACGGGGGCGCAGTCCAACCAAAGCGAGTTGGTCGTGTTGGGTCGCTGTTACTCTGATTATTTAAGAAGTTCAGATTGAACTCCAAGGCCTCAGAGAGAAACGGGTTTATTCACTACCTGACCTTTGACTCTGACGCCCCCACAGTCACACGGAGGGCTGCGGGTATTAGTCCTGAAACACGACATGAGTCAGTGTTTTTCCCTTCTGTTGGTTTAAAACTGCATGTGTCCTTCATGCTCTGCGTTTCTCAACATGTTGGCTTGTTCTCTTCTCAGGTGTTCGGACCTCCTCCACCTGGCCGTTCTTCACCCCCGGAAGTGTTCCATCTTCTCTGTTTCAGGCACGCGCACCAACATCCCGCCTCTTCCGCTCTTGTTATGTTCTCTTTCTGGCGACTTGTTTTATTTTTAGATTTATTCCCCCTCTGTGCTTTGCAGGCACCGCGGGCAACGTGGAGCACGGGGACCAGTACCAGCTGAAGCTGGTTTACGAGCACAACCTGAAGAGGACGGTCTGCAACATGACCTTCGGCAGCTTTGGAGGCGTCACAGGTACGACCTCACCTTTTATCTATTTAAACACGCTTTACACACGGCTGCTTCTTGAATCTCATGGAAACATCTCTCTGACAGCACTGAACCCTTCGTACCGGAGAGAGGTAGAGAGGGAGAGAGGGAGAGAGGGAGGAGGAGGGAGGAGGGAGACTCTAGTCTATTGGGCTTTTGGAAAAACCAAGTAGGGGAAAGCCCTTCAGTAGATCCAAGAAAAACACGCACACACATGGGGGGAACCCCCTTTAAAGTAGAGAAAATGGCATTTCCAAATAAAGGCTGCATTGTCGAGGTGTGTGTGTGTGTGTGTGTGTGTGTGTGTGTGTGTGTGTGTGTGTGTGTGTGTGAGAGAGCGCAGTGTAGGCCCGTTGTGACCAGTAACTCTGTGGATCCACGGGATGTTTTCCTGTAATAAAACAACCGCGCCACGCTGCGGGTTCTGATGAAGTCTGTCTCTCTCTGTCTGTCTGTCTGTCTGTCTGTCTGTCTGTCTGTAGTACCCTTAACCCTCCAGACACACACGTACTCACAGCCCGTAACATCGCGTCACTCAGCCTCTCCGCTGATGATGTCGTCCTCTCTCCTCCTGCTGCCCCCCTTCTCACCACTAGATGGCGGCGCAGGAAAGCCTGTAGTCGCTCCTACGCTTTAATGAATGGGATCCGTTCGACTCTTGCAGGGAAATTCCCGCTTTCCTTTTTTTTTTCTTTCAAAAGGCTTCTGAAGACGGTGTGAGGATGTTTGTTCGTTACCACATTTCCAGAGCTTAAACCTTTTACATTTTTAAAGTACCATATTACTCCTAACCCGCAAGCCTCTGTGTCAAACTGTCACATACGTGTTTTGAATCATCTTCACACACAGAAGCACTGGCTTCACTCCTCTGGTCCTCTCACGGGTCACACGGAAACCAGGATCTCCGGCTCGGTTTGCTGCAGCGCGCTCACGTAATGATTCACAGACGCCACAGCGAAGAATCACAGAGATATAGATATGCACTAAGTGAAACACTGTGTGTGTGTGTGTGTGTGTGTGTGTGTGTGTGTGTGTGTGTGTGTGTGTGATCACAGCCATTTAGCCGTGCTGTAGGTGCTGTAATAGCAGCTTTGTACTAATGTGGCTCCATTAGCTGGGCTGACTTTGGGTCCCATTCAGGCCACACACACACACACACAGTTCATGCTCAGACGCACAGACAGTAGAAATTGGCACGGACGCACACGTCCACACTCGTTCTCCGTCTCGCTCTCCCACGCAGAGGCTCCGCCCACTGCGGCGTGCAGTCAGCCTCTGTGCTTTGTTGGCCCCCCACGTGCTAGTCGCACATCTCTTATTAATGACACTAATGCAGGCCACACATACAGCCCCGTTTGCAGCAACAACACCACTGAATTACACGTTTAAATGACTCCTTCAAAGTGTAGAATGAAGGATGAACAGCGTCGCCTCTGGCCTCAAGTGGCCTCCTCCTTCTGGCGACGGCGTGCATTCTATCCGTTGACAAGTGCACACGCCTCTGACCATATGTATGTTTCACTCACACGCTCTTAACATTGAGGACGGTTACACACAAATAATCACAGAGAGCCGATCACAAAACCTTTGTCCTCCAAGAAAATAAATGAATCGTTTTTTTTTTTTTTTGTCAGCTTGAAAACTAGTGACAGCCCCCCCACAGACACATGTTCACACTCGGACCCACAAAAACACACACGCACACACACACGTGTAAGTTTGTGTGAATACACAAGTCTGTGTGTGTAGCGCTGTTGGTGGCGGCCTCCCTGACCTCTAGTTGATGGCAGTATGAGTTTTAATAGCGCGTCGAGGCCTAATTATAGTTCTCCGGTCACCCCAGCCGCTGTGTGTGTCTGTGTGTGTGTGTGTGTGTGTGTTGGGGCTTAGCATGTCCTACATTAGGCCTCTCTAACAGACACACAGGCTGGCGCACACACACACACAGAGCCAGGTGTGTGTGTGTGTGTGTTAATGGAGATCTCAGATTCTGCAGGAGGAACAAACAAGGTGACATCACTGCTGAAATGAAACAGAAGCCACGAATGACTCCGTGTTTCCTTCTAATCTGATGTTGGTGGCTGTCGTGTGGAAGTCGAGTGAAGTGGAATGAAGTGTCTGACGAGCTCTTTGGGGTTCACTCACATAAGTTCCAACCCCGCCCACTTTCACACCTCCACACACCTGGCCACGCGGCGTGAGATCAGCAGGGCTGTCGAAAGCAATCGTGTTTCAAACTGTTACTTTTAATGCTTCTTTATCTGTTTATTCTAATCAAAGGTCACTGGCTTCGTGATGGCGAGCTCACGCCTTTTTCTGAACTTTTGCCTCCCCGATGTGGCTTCCTCAGCTCCCCTCGGACCACAGGTAGAGGTGGAGGATTGGCCGCTGTGTTCAAGTGTGCTTTTCCATGTCGGGAGATTTCGTTTGACAGCTGCTCCAGCTTTGAGCTGCAGCTGTTTGAGGCACATCTTCCAGTGACTGTTTTATGTGCTGTGGTTTATCGACCTCCAAAGTTTAATAAGGATTTCATTCAGGACTTTGCAGACTTTGTCGCCGGAATTGCCTTGAAATATGATCGCTTTTTGATCGTTGGTGATTTCAATATACATGTTTGCTGCGAATCCAGGCCAATGTCTAAGGATTTTCTCGATCTTATTGACTCTTTCAGTCTCACGCAGTCTGTTACTGGCCCGACTCACGAAAAAGGACATACGTTGGACCTTGTACTGTCATATGGCTTAGATGTTGCCATTAGTGAAATATGCGACACATGCATTTCAGATCACCTACCCGTTGTATTTACTATGGTTGTCCCCTGCTCGGACACTTTGTCTGTTTCCCCTGCGTGCTGTGTCCGTGCAATTAACCCTCAAACCGCTTCACAGTTTTCTGCTGCTTTTAAAAACTCAGTGCTTTACAATCTTGGTGATTTTCTTAATGTGGAGGAACTCGTCAGCATCTTTGACGCTACTTGTACTGAGATACTTAACTCTGTTGCCCCACTGAGGGAGAAACGCAGAAAACCTCAAAAAGAACCTTGGCTGAATGTAAATACCCGCTCTCTCAGACGGGCTTGCAGAACAGCTGAGAGAAAGTGGAAGAAGGACAAACTCCAAGTGTCACTTCAAATCTTAAAAGATTTATTACATAAATACCAGGGAGCAGTTAAATCTGCTAAAACTCATTATTTATCTCACCTGGTTGCTAGTAACACCCAGAGGCCTCAGGTTCTTTTTAAAGTGTTTAACTCACTTATTAATCCTTGTGAAAATGACTGTGCTGTGCCATCCACATTGTTATGTGAAAACTTCCTGAAACATTTCATAGATAAAATTGCTGGCCTGAGCTTTTCATCCCCTGTTTCTTCCGATGGCCACTCTGTTATTTTTTCATGCCCAGCTGTCTTTCAGCAGTTTGAGCCAGTTTCACTAAACCTTCTTTCTGACATAGTCAAACAGCTTCGTCCAACTAACTGCCTACTGGATTGTATCCCTGCACGCTTACTTAAAGATGTTTTTAACACTGTTGGGTCCAGTATTTTATCCTTTGTTAACTCATCTCTCAGCTCAGGGTGTGTTCCAGCCGCTTTTAAACATGCTATTGTGCAACCACTCTTAAAAAAGAAAAATCTGGATCCGTTAGTTTTGTCTAACTTTAGACCTATTTCTAAATTACCTTTTTTATCCAAGGTCTTGGAGAAGGTGGTTTTTAATCAACTTCAATCATTTTTAGATGATTTTAGTATTCATGAAAAGTTTCAGTCTGGCTTTAAGCCCCGCCACAGCACTGAAACTGCCCTTCTAAGAGTCTATAACGACCTCCTCTTAGCTGTAGATTCAGGAAATTCTGCTGTTTTAGTGCTCTTAGATTTGACTGCTGCCTTTGACACTGTCAACCACTCTATCCTTTTATCCCGACTCAAGCAAAGTGTTGGCATTACAGGTATAGCCTTAAAATGGTTTGAATCCTACTTGACAGATAGGAGTTTTTCTGTCCACATTGGTAACTGCTCTTCATCTGTTGCCCCTCTGTCCTGTGGGGTCCCCCAAGGTTCCATTTTGGGACCAATGCTATTTTCTCTGTATATGCTGCCCTTAGGGTCCATTTTTAAAAAACACAACATCTCTTTCCATTGTTTTGCTGATGATGTGCAAATTTACTTGCCTGTAAAAAACAATAAGAAGGACACTATCAAGCCGCTGATAAACTGCTTGAGTGATCTCAAAGTATGGATGGATCAGAATTTTCTCTGTCTTAATGACAGTAAGACCGAGGTTGTTGTGTTTGGACGTGCTGAACATCTCAGTGCCTGTGTAGATTCTCTCAGTATTTTAGGCTCCCAAATTCGTCCTTTTACCAGAAATCTGGGAGTGATTTTTGACAGTGCTTTTAAACTTGACAAACAGATTAGTTCTGTTGTCAAAACTAGCTTCTTCCAGCTGAGACTTCTGGCTAAAGTCAAGCCCTACTTGCTACGCAAAGACTTTGAGAGAGTCATGCATGCGTTCATTACTTCTCGCTTAGACTACTGCAATTCACTGTATGTTGAGTTGGATCAGTCATCTCTTCGTCGCTTGCAGTTAGTTCCAGAACGCAGCAGCTCGACTTTTGA